CTAATTTCTACGAACATAGTTCTTCAAAATTGGTCGCTATTAAATGACGATATTGATTGTTAACCATTCCTGTATCAAGGAATTCTACGTTACCTTCTGACATCGTCTCGAGTAATAATTAAGAAATAATTAACGCGAAACAAAACCTCTTCCGCTGCGAAACAGGAAGGTAGGGGAAGGTTCATTCTACAATTTTTAATTGCATGGGTAAACAATTTGTTTCTAGTAGTACAGTTGATAATGGATTAGCTGCTGATTACGTAGAGTTCTTCTCCACTGACATGTCGCGTTTAGTTTGTAGCTGTTGCCGCTAGACGGCGCACTTTCGATTACCTCCTTAGTCCTGATGCTTCGCGCGTACGTACCAGGAATCGATGAGATGCTTTTTCAAGGAGGTATCACCTGAGAGTGAATTTCTGTCCTTGTCACACAGTATTTCTGTTCTTCTCTTACACATTACAGGTACAGTGAGATGCTTCCAAAATTCTTGGCCGCTAGATGGCGCCACCAATCATCATTCTTACCGACACAGCGAACATTCATTTATCAATAAATTTTACGTTACCTTATGACTTCGTCTCGGGTAATAATTGAGAAATAATTAACGCGACACTAAATCTCTTCCGCTGCGAAATAGGAAGGTAGGGGAAGGTTCATTCTAGAATATTAAATTGCAAAGTTTAACAATTTCTTTGTTGTTGTACAGTTGAGAATTAATTAGCTGCTGATTACGTAGATTTCTTCTCCATTGACATGTCGCGTTTAGTTTGTAGCTGTTGCCGCTAGATGGCGCACTTTCGATTACCTCCTTAGTCCTGATGCTTCGCGCGTACGTACCAGGAATCGATGAGATGCTTTTTCAAGGAGGTGTCTTGTGAGAGTAATTGTTTGTCCTTGTCGCACGGTATGATTGTCCTTGTCTTACACATTACAAGTGTAGGGATTAGCTTAGGAAATTCTCGCCCGCTAGATGACGCCACCAAACGTCCTTTTTACCGACGCAGCGAACTCACTAGATAATCGTTAATTACTTATTAATTACTGTTCGAATGTGGTTCAACATGCTACTGAATATGTGTGGAGGTCTAACTTAATATCTACGATCATAAATGTTCACAATTTGTGCCTATTATGTGATGAACTTGATTGTTTACTGGGCACCTGTAAAAATTCTACCTTATCTTCTTACATCTTGTCGGTAAATAATTCATAAATAATTAACGCGGTGCAAAGTTCCTTCAGTGGTGCATGAGAAAGTAGGGGAAGGTCCATTCTACAATCTCACATTGCAAAGGTTAACAATTTATTCGTAATAGTTTTGTTGATAATGACTCAGCTGCTGATTTCGTAGTTTTCTTCTCTATCGATATGTATCGTTTAGTTGTTAGCTGTCACCGCTAGATGGCGCACTTTCGGATACCTCCTTTGCCCTGATGGTTCGCGCGTACGTACCAGGAACCGATGAGATGCTTTTTCAAGGAGGTTTCTTGTGAGAGCAATTGTTTGTCCTTGTCGCACGGTGACTCTCCTTGTCTGACACATTACAGGTATAGGCATTAGCTTAGGAAATTCTTGGCCGCTAGATGACGCTACCAAAGGTCATTGTTACCGACGCAGTAAACTCACTAGATAATCGCTAATAACTTATTAATTATTACTCGAATGTTGTTCAAAATCCTACTGCATATTCTGGACACTTTACCGTAATTTCATCGATCATAAATGTTGACAGCTTGAGCCTATTAAATGATGAACTTATTTGTTCAGTGGGCCTCTGTTAAAATTTCTACGTTATCTACTGACATCGTCTCGGGCAATAATTATCAAATAATTAACGCGGCATAAAATCCCGTCGGTTACGATATAGGAAGGTACGGGAAGGTTCGTTCAACAATCTTAAATTGAAAAGGTTAACAATTTATTAGTAATAGTATAGATGGTAATAAATTAGCTGTTGATTTCGTAGTTTTCTTCTCTATTGACATGTTTCATTTAGTTCATAAATGCTGCCGCTAGATGGCGCACTTTCGGATACCTCCTTATTGCTGATGCTTCGCGTGTACGTACCAGGAACCGATGAGATGCTTTTTCAAGGAGGTGTCACTGGAGAGATATTTTCTGTCCTTGTGCCACAGTTTGTCTCTCTTTGTCTTACAGATTACAGGTATAGGGAAAAGCTTCGGAAATGTTTAGCCGCTAGATGGCGCTACTTAATCTATTGCCCTGTCGAACTGCAACCGTCTTTACATACAAATTTAATATTCCCTTGTCTTTGCATTAGCTGTTGTATAGATTTCCGCGAGGCGATAATATAAAATATTGTATGTTAAATTAATTATTTGCCAACTGTTCTTTACAGATGTAAGAATTATGTTGCGGGTCTGTGCAAATAAATACAAATCAATAAAAGACGTATTCCCGTTTTGGAAGAGGCAGGGTAAGTACTCATGGAATCTTTATGTCTTTCGTGGATGATGGAAAGAGTCGTTGAACTCGCGTTGATTCGCACGCCTGCCGAGCCGGTTGCCACCACGCTTCGGGCAGCGCCCGCTACGCGCAGCCCCGCTTACACGAGAGACCAGGTACGCACGCAGGCAAGGAAAACTTTTTCTATATCAACACGCGAAATCTCGTAAATGTCGTGTTGGCGCGAACGGTAAAGTAGTTGCCTTTCTTCTCGAGACGTCGAGGCGCAACGCTATCCTTGGAAGCAGCTCGTCTATGATTGCACCAAAAAAGAATCCAGTTAAACTTGAACTGGTACATTTGCCTGAAACCACGTTGCGAACAAAGAGAATAATCGTAAACGCGAAACGGTACGATCTTGCATATGGATAAAATACTTTGCCCATCGATTTGCTCCTTATTATGCATCGAACATTGTAAAATCCCGTCGAGACCACTGCAAGTCTTCGTTAATGGGAAACTTTCGATACTTGGAAAATCCAGTTAAAAGATGAACAAAAGAAAAAGTCAGGGAATTTTTGTGCCTGAGATTGGAATCGTATATCGCCGCGACATCTATGGTTTCCGAATGATTTTGCCAGTACGCATTGCACAGCGACCGTAGTGAATTCGAATGGAACAGGAATATAACCTATCGGAAAGCATAGCGATGCGGCGTCGCGTGAAACCTTTGGAATCGGACCTGAACGGAGGTGGATGGATCGAGCGCTCGCAATGGCTGACGAAATCAGGGAGAAACTGTTGGCACGAGTAAAGGAACAAGGAGATCTTGTACGGAAATTAAAAGCCGCGAATGCCAACGATATCCAGGTATGATCGAGTATTTTTTATATTTTCAAATCATAAAGTTTTATCCGTTTATTTTTTCGTTTTGTATACAATCGATTTCGTCACATGTGAGAAAACCATACCTTCTGGTAACACTATTTCTCGGGACTATCTACGAATTCGAGAGTGTTAACGTTCCTCGAAGGTACTAACGTTTCCGCGTTTACTCGCGATCGATTGCGGTTCGTAAAATTCAACCGTTTGTATTACAACTTTCTGCGTGTCACGTTTTATTTCGTAAGATAAAATGCGCCGACTCTTCTGGTCTTCTTCTTCCAAGATCTTCGATGTTTCGTCTGCTTTGAAATGTTTACCGGCAATCCTAGTATCGCATCTCTTTCCTTCCTTCAGGATGTAACGAATTCATTGGACATAGAAACACAATTGGACAGCATAAACCACGATTTTGCTGACGTTAGTTACGTTTGCGGTTGGGTACCGACCGCCAAAGACAATACATTGTACAACTTTTGTACCACCTTTGATGGAGAAGTATCTAAATGGTCACATTTGAAAAGATGGTTTACGAACATACAAAGTTTCAGTCAAGCTGAACGTAACGCATTTTCTCAGCCGAAAGGTTCGCCCACTCCCTTGGCAGAAAAAATTGATCGTATAATTGCCCTTTGCTCGGTTCAACGACACTCAGGAATTAACCAAAAGGTGAGGTTATTCTCATCTCACGAGCAAGAACGCTATAAATTATGGATTCATCGAAATTCTTTTATTTAACGTTTATTTCATTAACAGCAGCGATCTGTAAGGCATCCGAATATCGAGGATTTCATGTTTGATCTACTATATTGAGAAAATAATGTAATTTATAGCGTTTACTTGCCAGCTGGTTCATACGGTATCGTTTCTTCTTTCGGGTGGTTCGATAATCAACACTGAGGTGGACTTTTCTTCTTTCGTTCCGGTTCCTGGTACACGACTGCCCCCTTCTTCGGAATGTTGTGTCTTACACGGACCAATATCATTCTGGCTGCGCGACAATATTGTCATGCCGCTAATTCGATCGCGGGATTGAAGGTATGGAAATATATAGTACAAACGTTTTGTTGGATTAATCGCGAATAAAAGAATTATCAGAATTATTGACCGTTTCTACCAGCCAACTGTAACATAAACGCGGATACGCGTATGGATCGGATACATTTACATTGTAAATTATCCTATTTCTTTCCCACAGATAGCAGACGAGGTTGCCAAATTGCTGGAACTGAAAGCCCAGTTAGAAGAAAAGAATGGGACCTCGAAGCTTATTCTTAAAACTCCCAAAGGTACCAGGGATTATAGGCCTGACCAAATGGCTGTGCGGCTGGGAGTTTTGGATAAAATAATTACCGTTTTTAAAAGCCATGGGGCGGAGACTATAGATACGCCTGTCTTTGAATTAAAGGTACGTTCCTGAATCTTCTTGATTACAAAGCGATACGTTCTTGCGAGCGATTCGTCGTAGAAATTTGTGAAAAATTTCTTCTTTCTGCGCAGGATATTTTGACGGGAAAATATGGCGAGGACTCGAAGCTCATCTACGATTTAAAGGACCAGGGTGGTGAGATTTTAGCTCTCAGGTATGATCTAACCGTACCTTTTGCCCGATACTTGGCCATGGGAAAGATCTCCTCCATGAAGAGGTATCATATAGCCAAGGTTTATCGAAGAGATAATCCAGCCACTACCAAGGGTAGATACAGGGAATTCTACCAATGCGTAAGTGAAGCTAAAAGAATAACTAATGCATCGGTAACTGGTAACTTGTCGCGTAATCTTGTATTTCTCAATTGTTTGCATTGCTCTCGTTTAAAGGATTTCGACATTGCCGGTCAGTATGACCCTATGATTCCCGATGCGGAGTGTATCCGTATTATTTACGAAGCCTTGCGATCGTTGGAGCTAGGACCTTGCGTGATCAAAGTGAATCATCGATCGTTGCTGAACGGTATATGTGCTGCGTGTGGTGTGCCGGAGGATAAGTACCGCGGTGTGTGCTCTTCTATAGACAAACTCGACAAAAGTCCCTGGCCGGAAGTTCGAAAAGAAATAATAGAGGAGAGGGGACTGGAGGAATCGATCGTCGACAAAATTGGAACTTATGTGTCACGGTCCGGCGGCGTGGAACTCATTTCGGAATTAAGGAAAGACGTTGAACTAATGAAACACGAAGCCACCGTCAAAAGTCTCGAAGCCATGGAATTATTGTTTGAATATTGCAAGATTTTCCAAGTGACAGACAACGTGCGATTCGATCTCAGTCTCGCTAGAGGTCTTGACTACTACACGGGTGTGATATTCGAAGCTATACTTACCGGTAAGTCATTTCATTTCATTTCATTTCATTTCATTTCATTTCATTTCATTGGAAAATCGCTCACCGCTTCCGTCTCTTTTCAGGCGACGACGTTGGAGTTGGTAGCGTCGCGGGTGGTGGACGTTACGATAATTTGGTAGGAATGTTCGACAATAAGAAGAAATCGATACCATGCGTCGGTCTGTCGTTGGGCGTCGAACGTATTTTCAGCGTTATGGAAGCGAAATTGAGTCGAGACGGTTTGAGAACACGTACAACCCAAGTCGAAGTGTTTGTGGCAAGCGCTCAAAAAAACATGCACGAAGAGAGAATGAAAATTTTGTTGGATCTTTGGAACAGTGGACTGAAAGCCGAGCACTCGTATAAAAAGAACGCGAAACTACTTGTACAGTTGCAACACTGCGAAGAGAATGGTATTCCGTTGGCCGTAATAATCGGTGAAGGGGAATTGGCCAGAGGCGAAGTGACTTTGAGAGACGTTGCGTCCCGTGCAGAGGTATCAGTGCCCAGAGCATCTTTGGTCGATGAACTGAGGAAAAGACTGGAAAATTTATAAGTTACTAGGAAATATAGTAGACGTTACTCCGACACTAGGCGGAATTAAACAATTTCATATCGGATAGAAATCTTGTGAAACTTCCCATGAAATTCAAATGCTTCTTTTCTTTATTAATCCGCACTTTGATATCTCGTTTGAACACACACACCGAAGAAAGGGAAGACAAACTTGTGTTCCTGTGTAAATGAAACTTTCTTATGTAATTTATTGCATTGAATGGCCGAATAAAGTTGAAGTTGCTTCAGAAATCGTCTTACCGGGACGTACGTTCTCTTTTCTGGAACCCCGATACCTGCGCGATGAAACGAGGCGTGACGCGAATATCGAGAATGCATTGTTCCGTTCCGTTCCGTTCGCTTTCGCCTTTTTTCGTATCTGATTTCTTCTTGACTGGCAACTAACGCAACAGACGGTTAATGATCGGGATTTTGATCGCGTAAAACGAAGAGGAAAAATTGGAATAGTGTAGGTGGTGCGGTTTAGCATCAGAATTTACGATCACGGTACGATCGAGACGCCTGTTCTTCCGTCTTTACTTCTGTAAGACGAAGAAAGTTGTCTGACAGAGTATTGGCGTTAGTGTTTGGGAATGAGCTGTGAAAGGTAGTAGTGGTCGTTGGAGGAGTTTCTATTTTAACTTGTTCCAGCGGATGTTGCGACGTCGCGTCGGTGGTGGCGACAAGCGGCGCCTGTTTGCGATCCAGATTAATCGGCGGATTAACGGTGGCATTTTGAAAGCTACCGAATGTAACCGATTGTACGGGAACAAAGCGATCGCGTTCTCTGTCCCTTGTACTCTCGATTTTTTGCTGACAAAGCGGCGACTCGTTCGAAGCCGTGTACCGATCGATCAACCGTGAGCACGGATCGGCGATTCGAACTGTTTTGTCGTCGAGCCGAGTAGTCGTAGAAGCAACTCGTGAAAAAGGCGTGTACCGTTCGTTCGTCGGTTCGATCGACGATACGTGCCGATCGCGATGATCGTGCTCGGTAGGCGTAACAAATAGTTGGTCACCGCCGGTCGACCTTTCTCGCCGCGACGACGTGCTTTCGTCAACAGTCTCGGAATCGCTTCTCTCGCGAGTAGCGGACGATGACTTGGTTTCCTCGACTTTCTCCCGAACGTCGTCAACGTGAACGTCGCTGAGGCTGAAGGCCCTGACGCGACGTCGAAGGTTCTTTTGACCGATCTGTCGCTGCAGCATACCGGATTTCCAACGGGGTACAGCTTTCAGCGTAGTCGCAACGCTCGCAGCAGTCTCCTCCGTTGAAGTGCCGCCAATCCGATTTTGAATCGGACGCAAGGAGAAACGGCGAGCGTTGTTGAGCGCGGATGGCGGTACCATTGGCGGCGAGAAACCTGGCCCGTCTTCCGTACGAATGAGCGGTTCCTTGGGCGACTCGGATAAAAAGCTCGATTTATTTTCGTACGACGTCCGCCGCGACTCCTGGTGAAAGAAACAAGTTACTCGACAAATCATACATCTCTGCAAAGATTGCGCATACTGTTACCGGTAAGAAGGGCGAACCGCTCCTTGGCGGCGTTGGAGGACTGATGGGCGTCGCGACCGGTCTCAGAGAAAAGCGCCGCGATTTCTGGACCGTGGAACCGCCGAAAGCGAGACTGCCCCTCCGCGTGTCTCGACAACTGGGCTGTGTGGTTACGGGTCGATTGTTGGCTTGAGCCGTGGCAGATGGAACCGGGTTCGACGAGAACAACGTGAAGAGACTAGGAAGTTTCGGCGGTGACAGAGAAGCGGTGCCCATTTTCCGGCGCGGTCGAGTTTCGTGAAGGCGATCCTCGGCGGTCGGCGTTGCTGCCGCTGCTGCCCAATTACCAGTGGTAGCTACGCTCGCGTGTAAAAACGAGAGAGCTCTAACGAAATCGGCCAAGCTGGTTTCCTCGAGCAGATTGCTACTTTCCCTCTCCGAATGATTATTGGGGGCACCGGTGTGCGTGTAGTAGTTTCTTCTCGAAGCGTAGTTCACGTCCGAGTCTCGCCTCGTGGAGGACGTTTCGCGCGGCACGAAGGACGCCTCAAGGTCCTTGCTGTTGCCGTTGCGCTCCGAATCGGAATTTTTCTTCTCTGTGCTAATGGAGAAACGGTGTTTCCAAGGTCCAGAGGAGATTAGCGCTTTCGGAACGGATTTCGCCAACGAGAAGGAACGAAGTTTCGTCGAAAATTTCTGTTCCTTGGCGGCAGCTCGATCCTTGGCCGACGATTCCTTGGTCGACGATTCGTACGCTCGCGCTTTCATCAATTCCTGAATGGTTTTGGAGGCCGTTGCACCGGACCAAGTCCACTCCGCGTGACGATCCTCGTTCTTTTTAGTCTCGTGGAGTCTGATCTCGCTGGTTGCTCTCGAGCGAAGCCTCGGAAATCGTGGAATTCGGTCGCTCGGGCCAATCGTCCAACCGCCGGGGCCGGAGCCGCGCGCGTGTGTCGATTCCTTCTCCGAAATGTCGTTCGGGACTTTCTGCCGAATTTCGTCGTCGATTCTGCTGTTGCGCCGTGCATCCTGTTGAACGAAGGTCGTCTGATTCGAGCAATCGCCACCGATGTCGTCGATAGCCGGAGGCATATAGCCGAGTATGTTGACCAATCGCGCGAGTAGTTCGGCCGGTTGAACCATCGCGTGGCTCGCGAACGTCGCCGTTTTGTCTATCCTTTGGAGATCCGTCTCGGAGACGACGCGCCCCAGTTGATCTTCCTGTCGAACAAACGCAAAGCCGCGACCGTTACAAACGATTGGCTGTGCGATTACCTTGTCCTACCTTTGGTACTACTTCGCTGTTCGCGCGACGTCGAGGTCTTTGACGGACGAAACATTCGTATCCTTTTTCACCGTGCAACACGTCTCGAAGATCCGGGAAGCTGTTGCTTCGCGGGAAGTTTGCACGTGGGACTTCGTAATGACATTCGTCAACGTACACCCTCTGAAATCAAAGGAATCTTCGAAAGTGAATTTCCCTTAGCGAGGTTGCGTCGCGGTACAAGCGAATCGTAAAAGAATCGATTGAATTTCAACCGGTTGTTTCGAGCGATCCATGCTTGAATTGTTAAACCGCGGGAATCTATGGAGTTGGAGGATTTCGATAAGAGCGGAAGATTAGAGATTAGTAAAGGAATGCGGCGTTCTTTTACCTTGACCTTGGACAGCTGAAGTTCGTTGAAAACGCGGCGCAAATAATTGATCTCTTTATTGAATTCGTTCCAGATCTTACTTTGCGTGTGTTTTAAATTTGTCGCCAGCTTATGTTCGATTCTCGTAATCTTCTTGCTGCGCATACCTCGGGCGATAAAAGTCATTATCATAACGATGTATCCCAGTCCGAAAGAAATCCAGCAAATTAGAAAGGTCTTGTATAAAATGAAAAAAATCCCACTACCTTTGCTATTGTCTTGTCCTGTCGAGTGTGAAAGAAATTCTTCAACGTTTTTTGAACGAATGCGCGTTAAACGGACCCTCGAGACGTAAACGGGAGTACAGAGAACAAACCGTGCCCGATGACGCGCCATTGAATCGCTATTCAATCGCTATTCAATCGCGCTATCGAATCGAAACGAAGAAACGGGTGTGAGCCGTTGCACGCGATGAGATCCTTGTTAGCGTGTACAAGGAAAACGACTGTTAAAATCGCTGGGTGCGCGCGTTTCAGCATTTCAGGAGCGTTTCGAATTCGACTACGTGCCGTAGGTAAGTGCACAGGTGTACCGTGTACCTACGTGTCTAGGTGCGCAAGTACGTTTGGACGCGTACGCACCGCAACGTACGAGCGACAGGGGGACACTGATTGAACGATGTAAAGGAAATAGACGTGATTAAATGCATTCTGACCTGCCACATAGTCCCCGAAACCGATGGTTGTTAACGTAACGAAAGCGTAATACACAGCTTCGTCGTAGCTCCAACCTTCGTAATGAGAGAAAAGAAATGCCGGGAAAAATATAAACATCACAAAGCCGGGCGTCAAGTAGACGAATATTTGTGCGGCCAGTCCAACTTTTCTCGTTTCGAACGTTGTCAGTTTCCTGGGACAATAATCGTTGCGGGCATGGTTCTTCTTGTACGACTTGTATTTCTCGTGCGCTTTCACGAACACGTGTCCGAAGAATTCTCCCAGCTGCGTCAGCAAAATTCCGTTGATAGGTATGCCTATTAGTCCGTAAAATATCATCAAGATTCGACCCAGCATATTCGTGGGAGCCAAATTCCCGTAACCTGCATCACGTACAAAATCGAATACGCAGATGAGTGTCGAACAAGTTTGAAATAATGTCGGGTTTCGTGGATACGGGTCTTATTTTGACCGGTCGACTCGCCGGTTATTGTCGTCAGTATCGTCGATGATGTGTACATTAAAATGCGTAACGCGCACGATAAGATTGTGGTTCCGTTTATTTTTTTTCATCGAATCTGATCGAATTCTGATTTATATCGAAGCGAGAATGTGTGTAACACACGCAGATTGTACAACGAAGAACACGTTGCGTGTTCGATACGTACCTATTGTACTGACCACGGTGTATGCGAAATAAAAGCTGTTGTAAAAGTCCCATTTCAAGGGATCCGTTTCGTCTGCGGTGTAATTGTAAACCGACTTTCCACAGTATCGCGTCAGTTTTCCAAGAATTTCGTCGTGGTCGTGGCTGAGATTGGGCACGTAATACGCGTGAAGTAAAGCTGAAAATGTGAAGCCAGCTAAACTGAATCGATTCTCTATAGATACACAACGCATCCGTAGTTGTGCTTTCATTCTGTGCGATGATCACGGTTTCACGGTGAATGGTAAGTTAGTTGGTACGATTCACCAGCTCCTCGCTGATCAAATTTCTATCTGTATGGCGTTTAGGGCATGCGAATGCGAGTACACGAATGCGTATCTTATCGCCTGTACTGTCGGTTTGTTCTCGATTAGCTGGATCTTCTGTTTACGCGGTGACGGAGACGGGGGTTCGCGAACGAAGGAAAAGAATAGTCAGAATCGAAAGGGCGATAGAAACGCGATAAAACTACGTGCTACCGTGCCGTCACGAATCGCCAGGTTTTCCATTCAACTCGTATCGTTGCTTTTTGGCTGTCGAAAAGAAAGGTCGAAAGAAATGGATTAATAACGTTGCGCCGTTGTGTTTTTGTCGTTGCGTAAACGGCGAGCGACAGCCGATGTTATCGCACTGTATCCAGTACAACCCGAACCGATAAATCGTTCTTCGAGGTGATGAATTTCGGGAACGCGAAATAGGCAGCATGACTGTGCGACAGTGGTAACTTTGCTTCTCAACGCGAAACGTTGTCCAGGAATGTCACGAATACTCGTGTTACCGCGGTCAAGTGGAAACCAACATTCGTAGACGGTAATAGCGGTTAATTTCCCGGATAAACAGCTGCGAGGAGTGGCAGGATGAGGTGATTTCGCGAACAATGAATCTTGCGGTAACGGACGTAGTTTCTCTTTTGCTCCGACGATTCTCCGACGATTCTCCGACGATTCACCGACGAACCGTCCTTTTCGGCGGTACAAGCAAATATCCAATCGAATCGTCGAGAAAGCAATGCTGCGTTGCATTCGTAGCGAACACGGCGTTTCCCAGACACGAATCGTGGGTGGATCGTCGGTGGTCGTCGACGAATCGTAGGGAGAAGAAATTCTCTGCAAGAGAAGGCAGGTTTACGCGAGCAACTCTGCTGCTCACCATTGATCTCGATGCGTTCGCGTTTGGCCTTTTCGACGCGTTCGATCTCTAGGCGACTCTCGATATGGTAAAAGATGGAGGCACCTAGCAATAAGTAAGTCAAGAACAGCATCAGCAGGACCATCCATTGTTTCTTCGACATACTTTGATCGAAGCTGACCAAGGCGACAAACTATCCGTCAAGAACAGTCGAAAAGGTCTGCGTTGGAAAAGCAACGTTGACGTCGGCTTTCATTGAATTTCATCTATCGGCTTTTTCCTGTCAGTTGTTTTGCTTCCGTCTGGTTGTCGGTAAATTTGCGACTCGATCGCCACGATCTTGTCGAATCGGACGGTAGGTTGATCGATGACGGATCGGAACAGAACGAAACGAAACGAAACGAAACGAAACGAAACGAAACGAAACGAAACGAAACGAAACGAAACGGAACGAAACGGAAGGAAACGAACGCTAGGTATCGCGAGATGATGGACCGACAAATTCGCGGATCGCTGTCGCGATTCTTACTACAGCGGCACTAAAACCAGATTACGGACGGTCAAGTAGACTACAACGACAAGACATTATCGCCTGATAACTCTTTAGACTCTGATTTTGTGGCCTTCGGAAATCTTCTTTTTCTCCCTCGATGTGGTCACTGTTCGTAGATATACGATACGATTTTAAGTACCGACAACTCTAATCATCGCCGATAATACCTTTGAATTTTCATGCTTCGAGTTTCTTCCTTTGCGTTTCGGAAAAGATGTGCGAATGTTCTGCAAAAAGAACACGGAATATCGGTTAATTTAATCCTCGAACCGGATCTCGAAAGCGGGGCATTAATAAGGTACGGTGCTCGTTGAATATCACATGAATTTACCCGTTTCTCAACGATGCGTAACATCAACATTCGTTCGCGGTGTATTTTACATTTATATTAATGTCTCGCCGTCCGTGGTTTTCCTATCTCGTCGAGTCGGGCAGACGGCTAAATTGTGAATAAACGACGGGACGAGCAGAATTATCTACGCACTCGTCGTTGCGCGACTGCTTTTCGCGATTAAACGAGTCGTAAAGAATGTACCTATGTCCGACAGTTGAGAAGCGTGGACCAATTTTCGATTGGTCGCGGTAGTTTTCGCGAAACAAAGAGAACGGAAGAGTCAAAGAATAGTGTACCTCTTTGGTGAAAGACGGTAGTTGGTCGCAGACGATTCAGTCGGCTAGTTCTCTGGAACGCGCGAGGAATGCGTTATCGATGAATACTGATCGTCTCGATGTCCAGAACTAAATGGACTTGGGGACGTTTCTCTGCCGCGTGACTACAATTTTCACAGCTATCAAGCGCGGTCGGCGACAAAAATGTTTCTTTCGTCGATACGACACTTTTACGTAACTCGCGTAGTGTGCTTTGCAAAACGCAAAGCACAAAGCGCAAACCGCAATATATTCTGCTGGTTGAAAGATCGAAGGACAAGGTCGATCGGACGCATGATTTATCGCGTAGAGAACGCACACATCCGTGTTCGGCGAGCCGCTCGTTCTTCGATGCTGTCCCATTTTATCCCCGGCGCCACGGTATTCCTCCCGCCTCGATCGGTCGCGTTACAATTCCGGATATTTCGATGTCTCTCTGCGTATAATCTTGCGAATCAAGTACGACAACATTGGATTTTCTTCACGGAAATTCCGATAGCGCGAGTACTCTTACCCTTAAATACTGTTGGGCGTAGACCCGTGAGGTCCGAGCCGTCTCTACGCGTCGTTGCGAACGAACCGTTACTCAAACTTGCCGTTCGTCAAGCGCGTTTCTGCCAGCCACCGTTCTATTAAAGTATTAATCTGCCAGGCGAACGACTCTGTACACGCGTCGAATGAAATACTTTTATTCGAGAAAGGCAATAACCACCTTTAGCTTTAGAGAAATAGAGATACACCACCGAGATTACGCGGACACGAATAAAGGAAGAGCTTATCTTCTTTACACGTGTAAACAATTTTGAAACAGATACCGAATAAACCAATGGATCAACCAATCGTTGTACCAACAAAAGCAAAGTGCTTCCGATAATGGGCTATCGAAAGTAAAACAATGAGTTACCTTCGATAATGTTTCGATCGTCGTTGAAACGGTTGAAACCTCGAAGGATGTTTTACCCGAATTTAGAACACGGTACGTTCGTAAAGATGCCGAATACAATCCTTGAGAAATTCGAAAAACACGTACGCGCCGTTAACACTGGAACTACCAGGTGGACCGAAATCGTTCCTTTCAAATATTCTCTATTTGACACGCCTTGAAATTATAAAAGGTACTTATTTATTACCATTTCCCTATCGTTTTGTCGAGTAACTCGAAACGAGTTACTCTTAATACCGATCACACCGTTGCATCGAAACTTCCCTCCGTGTGTATATACGTACATACGATACATACCTTTCGTCGCGCATCCTGCGCCACTCGTTCTCACTTTATTATTCCAATGAATTGTTTGTTCATGAAAGAATTATCGAGTCGTTCGAATAATGTGATCGGTACGAACTCCACAGAAACGTTACCCGCCCATTTCTTTCAAATTAATCTAACGCCCAACGATGCCGGTGACTATCGAATTTTCATGATGCCGTCAATTATTTCAAGTTCGTCCGAGACCGCGTTAATTGGGACTGTCGGTTGACCGCAATTATGCAATTGTTCAATTATGCAGCTTCGCGAGCGGAGAGACTCCAGGAGAAGCACAGGAGCATCCGAAAGATGAAAACCGACTGATACCGAAAAGCAACAAAAGCGGTACAACACGAATGATGAAACAGCGAAACAGGTCGAAACGTGCATGAGCTAATGTACATGACGACTGTGAACTGAATTGGGTCGCCCGCGAACGATGGATGAATTAAACGTTAAACTCGTCTACGTCTACGTCTGTTGGAGTCTGGACGGTACGTGTAACCGCGTGAGGCGAGTACGGTCGTTTCTCATGATACTTTTTTTCTTTTCCAAGTACCGTTGACAAACCTATACGTAAAGTAAATGTAAATTAATCGCGTTACACGATTCTCCGTTTCGAAATAGATCGACAAAAGTGTCGATTAACGGCCATCTATTTCGTTCCGATAGAAGCAGAGCCTACGCTGCGCCGCGATTCGGTGATATTTACGAAAACTTACCATCGATCCTACGGGCTGTGTCTTCTATCGTAACGTTGAAATCTCTTTCTGGCGTAAGACGACACGTGCGATTTGCATCGGTGCCAGCAAGATTTGTTCGAACCCGAGTCTACCAATGAACGTGCAACTTTGAAACTTTTGCTAATAACAAAATAAGAGAATTAAACGGAATCCGATAGTTTTTGAAAAAAAAACTTGCATCGATCTTTGCACTTGACCGTATTTCGTATATGCGTCAAATTCAAATCGGAACTAACGACGTTGCGTTGAACGAAAAGTCAAAGAAATTTACTTTTTAACCCATCGTTGATAACGTACGAATGAGAAAAAACTTGTTGAACCTGTATCAGGGAAATCGAACGTTAAAACACGCAAAGGGATGAATTTGAAAACGCAAGAAAAACTAATACTACAATGGAAGATAAGAAAACGAGCCGGCGGTATACAGTTGAGTCGCGCGCGCGACGTTTACTGCTCGATGAGATGTTCGAACATATGTAACTGATACGGATCTTCTGGAAAAGTCCAGAACCGGTAACAGGACGTGTTAATAAAAATATTTGATTAGTAAATTCATGCTAATAACGATTGGTAGCTCTTTTTGAGCCGTAGTCCCCGTCCGCGGCCATCCTCGAATAATTTATACGTCGCATTGGCCCCTGTTTCGCGGAAAGCCATCGGCACTTCTTTCTTTTCCTTTCTCCCGTTTGATGACTACTCAATAATCTTATTGATGATTCATAACACGTCAAATCTGTCTGTGTTAGTGTCGGAGGATTCTTACTTTTCGTAACGCGAAACGTTTGCGCTCTAAACTATTATTCATTGCCGGTTAATCGCTGAAAAGGTGTATCGTGACAATCTTTACAGTTGATTCGTATGTATCACCTTTCTCGCGACATCCCGAGTACCAAGGCACAAACTAAACGAAGCTTTATCCGTTATAATACCGATTGTATACGTCCGCATGATTCGAATCGACCTTCGAATATACGCCCATCATACGCTCTAACTGCAACGCAACCAAGTGAAAATGAAAGAAACGATGCATGGAATGATTATCGATAACCCAACTTTTAATTGGCAGGTAATTTTGGAATAAAACACTGATACAGATTAATTCGTTTACGAGAACAATCGATGAATGAACGAAGGTAGTGGTTGTTCCGAATAATACTAGCGGCAGCAGCGACAGCGGCAGCAGCAACAGTAACAGCAACAACAACGACTACTAGTAGCAGCAACAGCAACAATAGTAATAATAGTAATAATAGTAATAATAGTAATAATAGTAGTAATAGTAGTAATAGTAGTAATAGTAGTAATAGTAGTAATAGTAATAATAGTGATGACAATAAACAAATCGATAAATCAAATTGATCCGATTATTACCGTATAAACTTCAAATCCTGATTACCGTTGATCAAATATTTAATCGAACTGCTTTATTTCCTTTCTTTTTACAATAGAAACAACTTTGGCGAGATAATTAGTGGCAACGAAATTGCGATATACTTTGAGAGAAAAATATTGAAAATTTGCAAAACGAATAAATGTTTGAGCAACCACCGTCGTTCAAACGAAGCGCTAATTCCATCCAAGTTCTATGTCTTCGATCTTTATGTTCAGTTCTTCGAACGAGGTGTCGATCTCAGGCTCGTCGAAACCACCGTTCAACTCGATTTTCTGTGAACAGATTGCACGTTTGAAACGGTTGGTATTATCGCCATTAATATCGTTGTCGTTCGTGCAATACAGAACAGAGGAATGAAGTGTAACGACAGTAGAAGTTGAGAAAAGAAATTGAATCGACAAACCTGCAACGCTGCGATTTGAGAGGGATCGCCAACTAGTAATATCTGTGTTTCATTGTCGTTTAAATCGTCGATCGCTTTGGAATGAATTTGAATTTGTCTGTCCTTCCCTGTAATCTTTCATGATACGAACAGAAAAATTGATTCACACTCTTGAAAGGTCTTCTTTGAAAGTATTTGAATCGCAAAATATCCTTCGAATTACCTTCAAAGGAGGGCTATCGTTTTGTTCCCGAGTAAGGTTCGTCTTTCGCCTATCTTTAGCCCGAACGGAAGGGTCTGAGATTGGTTCTTGGAAAAAAATGTCCACGTTATCATCGTTATCGACTAACGCGTGTGCCGTTCTTTTGTGCATTATAAGAGTACTGCTCTGTCTGTATCTCCTAAAGCAGACTTTACATTCGAACGGCCTCTGTTGTGTGTGGACCTGTGAATAGGAGACGCAAACGAAAATGTACAATTATATTGTCCACGATAGTCGATCGTGAAACCACGAACCTTGTAAACTTACCAGGTGATGTTTGTAAAGACTAGAATACTCGGTGAATCTTCTTCCGCAATTCTCGATAGAGCAGACATATGGCTTCTCGCCAGAATGGATTCGAATGTGATTTTTATAATTAGTCGCACTGGCGAAAGCCTTGCCGCATTTCGGTTGTGTACATTTATACGGACGTTCGCCGGTATGTGTTCTCACGTGAACCTGTTCCGCGGCGCATACACATGTAACAAATTCGTACATCTGACATATCGGTCTGTACCATCGCGAGCGATTACTTTCACCCTTACCTTCCTGATATTGCTCGTAGTAAAAGAGCGACCGCAACCATCGAATGGACACAGAAAAGGCCGTTCCCCGGTGTGCGTTCGCACATGCTTTAACAAGTCTCCTGAAGTTTTAAAACTTTTATCGCAGGCTTCGTTCGAACATTTGTAAGGTTTCTCTCCCGTGTGCGTACGCGAATGCGCCTTCAAACTGTATCCTGTCGAGAAACTCTTCTTACACTTCGGATATGTACATCGGTATGGTCGTTGACCAGTATGAGATCGTTCGTGCACCTATTTCAACGACATTGCTTTGTATTAAATTCGATCGAACGGTTGCATTGTTCGATTAGCTTCGACCTGACGGTGCTTAGATCTGTACATAGATACGAAAGAAAGGCGCACGATCAAAGAATCGTGTTTCCAGTTTATAAACGATCGTTCGGATAGAAAGTCCGTTAATTCTCCGTAGCGTTGAAAGCGTATTAAAACAAGATTCTGCTTAGAGACCAATTCAATATATAAACGTATATAGTATACGATAATATATCACCTTAAGATGATGGGGTGTACTATAAACTTTTGAACAGCCTTCCCTGGGACAAGGATGTCTGATCCTCGATGTGGAGAGTTTATTCAATAAAATCTTAGAGTCCTTTTTAGAAAGTTTGCCGCTCTCGATTTCCCATAGGTCTTTGCCGACATCTAAATGACCCGTTACCACATAGGCTGTGCCATCTATGAACTCCACCCTTGGATAGGCATTCTCTTCGTTCTCTACGGTAATGTTACGTGCTTGCAGCCGCATTGCATGATCTAATTCCAACCAAAATGACTTACCGTCTGCAAATTCTGATACATCCCGAAATAATATAGTATCTCCATTGTCCAATTCTAGTGTCGTTTGATTCTTTGAATCCGCTATTACGAATAAAACAGAAGGTAGCAAAGTTACTACTACGCAAAGAAATCATGACAACGATTGAACAAAACTTGACGAGTACAATTAATCTTATCGATACGCGGATATTATATTTCTAAACGAAGAAAGCAGATTTGGAAATGTCTGCAGCCTAGCGCGATCATAACTGTGCATTCCATATCGATAAAAATAACATTTTGTACACATTTCTGTCAAGCCCGTTATCTCCCTGACCGTCATTGTTAGAGTTATTCGCCATGAATGCTTGTGTCCCATCGGGTAGTGTTACAGCTGTCAATGTAGTGCCACTTAGCAACTGTTCATCCAATATTAATTCCTGCATTCGTCCGTTCTCATTGTTATCTTCGTTAATCAGAACCGACAGGTACTCCAAAATGTCTGCACGATTGCCCTATGAAATAAGAAGGTAAACTGATAATTGATACGGATGATAAAGAGTCTGGTTGGATGATCATCGATGGATGTGCAAAGAGAGTAGAAAAGTTGAAGGATGTCCTTACCTGTGTCTCGTCCAGTATAGTCTCGACATCTCGAGTAACGAGGCAATTCGTAAGTTCCGTGCCTTGCGTGGACATGTTTTGCTATGAATCCAGAGCTGCGAACAAACAATGTTTCGCAATGATCTCCGGTGATCCGCGTCATTATTTCGAGTCTTAGTTTCGTGTCCATGGGTAAACATTCGTCTTAAAATAAGACTCGTCAACGATTCGTTTGCGATTCATCGGAGTTTCGAGCTTTGTTAAACCGAGTTTTTGTTACTGAGAAAATCATTCGTGTTGGTTTGCATAAATCGTTCGCGATAAAAATATTTGAAAGGGAAACGTGTAGGGGTTGAGAAGGTTTTTTGACTCGTCGGATTGGGTCTTCTCGTAATGATCGTAACGCAAAATATACGGATCGTAACACGAAACAAGGTATGCTGCAACGTTCGCAACAGCAGAGATCATGTACCGTTCTAAACAGTATCAAGGGAAAAATTGTGATGTAGATGCGTTGATGATTCGCTGAAAAAAATTAACAACATCAACGATCGTAGTCACGGTCACGGCATTAACGAGAAAAGAGAAAAACGAATTAAACAACGAAGCGCGCCAAGTCGCCAGCAAAGAAACAACGCTCGCCATTTTTCTTGTCCTTGAGAACATGCACGCATAGCGAATGCAAAGTTACATGATCTACGATGATAAAATCGAATCGAACGAATCCTGTGTAAAATTCGAATGTCTTTTATTTCGCTTTCCGTTTTTCTTTCTTCTTTCTACTTGTACACCAAATTCGATTCTCGGTGTTTCGCGCAGCCTCGCGGCTCGATACCAAAGAATCTTGGGAAATATTACCCATAAACACGCATACCCGCGAAATATATACGTACAGATATATGTATATACATATGTATATATGTACATATATACGTATATATGTATATACCGAATAATATAACAACGATACTTGCTAAATTGCAACAACGTGGAAAAACTGTATCACGTTTACACACCATTAGATAATCAATTACGATGAGCATGAACTTTTTCATTAAAGCTACATTGTGAAGTGAAATAGACTATGATCGATACCCTTCTCTCGTTTGAGATCGCTGCACGGTATCGCAAAACGGTGATACAGTTCTAACGTGACCATGAACCTTGATTACTTGTAGATTTATACCGAACATTTTGTCATTTTAAGGTTTTAAAAGTCCTTTCTCTTCTATGAAAACATTGAAAACGTCGCGACTGCTTAATATTGTCATCACTTATCTTATATTTCTTGAATTGTGTTTTCTATTGGTCGATTCCGATATAGCCGAATACTTGTTCGAGGCGACTATACGAACAGTTTTTGTTGAAAATATTTTGTTACATAGTCCACAAAAGTGTCGACGCATCAGTGTTCGATAATTATTTCAAACAAGTACGAGGCGTAAAAATCTATATAAGAATGTGTAACGAATACGCGAGGCATCAATGTGAATGAACGCGCGCGCGTGTGTACAGGCACACGCTGACTGTTGGAATAATTGTCCACTCCTCTATCATTTCAGGTACATAAGGTCTGATTGGTGCAATGGGTTGGTCACTATTCTGACCATTAGTGATGTGTAGATGTAATAGATTTAAAGTGCATGTACGATGAACCACATGCATACACAGATCGGATATCGCTCTGTTTAGCACGTATTGTTGAAAGTAAGAAGGTCAAAGTCGATTGACCTTACAGATAGAGAATAATATAATTTTTACTTTTTGACTTTAGTCGGTTACTGTCACCATTCGTCAACGAAATTTTCGTATTCTTTGATCCAAAGACAAGTTTGGAAATGAATATTGATAAGAAATTACAAATAGAAAAGTGCAATCGTTGTTGCGTGTAATGTTAGGTAAATCACTCTTCGTTGACTCAAGTACTTTATTGAAACACTCGGAATTGTTCGTCTCGGTTATGAAAGTTGATGGAACCACTGGTTTACTTTATATATGTATATATATATGTATATACACATACAATAGTGTACGCACACGTCTGTGGTATATGTTTATCCATTGAATAAATGTTAATATTTGTATGAACGTGGCTGCTGTTTATAAATATTTCTACAAGTTTGAAACAAGGGAAAACGGCAGATGCAATCGGCAAGCAATGAATTTCACGGATAAGACGGTATTTATGTGAAAAACGGATAATGGACAAGAGGTACCTTTCTATTGTCATTCTTCTCGTTGCAATGCTACAAATTAGATGGTACGGGAGAGATTTGAATTTTACATACTCTGCGTGTACAATAGATTAATAACAGACTCATTATCTAGAGCTATAGGATGCAACAAGGCAAACTTATAGAGGTTTCATTTGGAGCGACCAGATTGTTTTCACAGTTGATTGATAAAAACGATCGTGGCGTTACTTTCAAAATGTTTGGTTCCAAGATGCAATCGTCGAATAGTACCTTTTACACCGAACTGGACTCCGATGTGGAAGACGATGAATCGTGTTTGAACAGAGCAACGAAATGTTCAGGTACTAAATACGTGAATCCAATTGTATTCGATCGTTCGAACATAAGAGTAGATAGTAAAGAATTATAAGAGTATAATAAACATTTGTTTCATCGGGTAGAAACCTTTGGTGGTTATTCACGATTTCGCTCATTTTTAATGACCGCTGAGAGTCCAACGGACGGTATCGGTATCAAGGAAAACGAGGACGACTCTATAAATGTGCCATTTCGATTAGCACACGGTGTGTTGGAATATAGAAACAGCAGGTAAGTTATGTCATTCGTAGTGTAGGCTGTGCAAACGAATGAAAGAGAGTACACCACCTGTAACGTTTACAGATATTTAACGGTAGAACGAAATTCGCGTCGGTATACGGTAGATTCGTATACAGTAAGTGAATCCGAGAGCGAAGAGGAATCTGAGGGTACTAAATCCTCCGAAACGGTTTCCGCGATAAGTGCTGATTGTACCGACGATACAGCATTGGAGACAAAATCAGGTGGTAATGCGTGCTGTGTGAATTCGAGGAGAAAGAAAGCGCGTCAAATTGCTGAAGAATTATTGGCTACAGAAAAGAATTATGTTAATGTTTTAAGACTAATCGACCAAGTATTTCAGTTTAGGGTCGATCAAGAAAACAGAGCACATCCTATGTTTCCTATGGAAACAGTTCAACACATGTTCTCTAATATTAAGTCGATTTACAAGTTCCACAATGATTTCCTGTTACCCCAGCTTCAGGAGAGAATACAAAATTGGGAATCGGATCCCAGAATTGGAGATATTATGAAGAATTTTGCTCCGTTCCTAAAGATGTATACGGAATATGTAAAAAATTTTGATTATGCCATGAACTTAATACACACTCTGCAAATTAAAGTCGCCAGATTTGCCGCGATTATCAACGAGATTCAAAAATTGGACGAGTGTGCCAAATTATCGTTGCCACATCATATGTTGAGCCCTATACAAAGATTACCAAGATACGAGCTTCTCCTGAAAGATTACCTGAGAAACCTCACAGAAGAAAATGCTGATTACGAGGACGCTAAAAGTAAGGATCTTTCGAGTTCCATTCGCTGAATTGCTTCCTCGTAGAGTAATGCGCATCTAGCAAGGAATGGCTTCTATTTAAACGTTTGTTGAACGGGGCACGTTTAAATAGACGTCGGTAGTTGGCGACGATTGTAATCGTAGAATCAAACGAACAGACATGGCTTTCTTTCTCGCAGAGGCTTTGGGATTAGTATCTACCGCTGCTAATCATACAAACGATGCAATGAAGAAGATTGATAAGTTCAAAAAGCTTCTAGAAATACAAGAGAGCATATACGATACAACAGATCTAGTTAGCGCGACACGGGAACTTGTAAAAGAGGGTCGCATCGTTAAAATTTCAGCAAGAAGCGGTGATCATCAGGAAAGACATTTGTTTCTGGTAGGTACGCTGAATCGTATGCACGTTTGTCGTGTGTGACTTGGTTCAGAGTAGAACGCGCGAGACGATTGACAATCGAATCCTCTTTGTCTCTTTTCAGTTTAGTGATTTATTATTACTTTGCTCGATACGGCTAATTCCCGGGCCATTGTATCGGTTGAGAGCGAAATTCATGGTCGAGAATTTACAAGTAATCGAAGGCGACAATTTAGAAACGGCGAACACCTTTTACATCAGGGACGAAGAGAAAAGTGTCGAACTGTACACGCACGCGGCTGAAGAGAAGGCTTCGTGGCTGGAGGCGCTTTTCAATACGATGCAAGAAATTATGAGAAGAAAGGCGAGCTTGAAGACCGGAAATGTCAAGACGCTTGTTATAAAGACCGAGGATGTTACCAAATGCATGATATGTGACGTATTCTTTTCTGTAATGAAGAGAAAACATAATTGCAGAGCATGCGGAATAGTAAGTATGTTTCTTCGTACTGTATCGTTGCTAATGATTAGAACAGACGGAATCAAAGTATCATTCGAAGCGGCGAAAATGTTTCTATTGTTTCATTTAATCTCGTTACAGGTAGTTTGCGGTAAATGTTCGAATCAAAAATTATTGTTCGAGGATAATAAACATATGAGGGTTTGTCGGTTGTGCCATGCCACGTTAACGCAACAACCGCTTTCCAAATCACCTTCTTCGTCATCGCCGTCCGGGCCTGTAGCGAGTCTATTGCAGGTTTCGGCGAATGCGCCGTCGGTTATATCGGGATACCTTTTACTAAAAACTCAACCGAGCAAACCTTGGATCAGACGATGGTTCGCTTTGCACATCGACTTTGTTTTGTACACCTTCAAATCTGAAACTGAAACTATGGCTCTGACAGCGACTCCGATGCCCGGTTTTATCGTGACCGAAGCCACCGAATTATCCGACGAAGATCCGTTGAGTTTTAAAGATAGACCTAAAGCTCTTAAGATGCATCATTCCAGGAAGAGTTATTATTTACAAGCATCGTCGCAAGAAGACAAGCAGAAGTGGGTGTTCCTTGTGCCTTGCGCCATTTATGTTTCACATTGTTCAATGTTTTATGAGAAATCTCTAATTTTTAGATGGTTTCATGCCCTTCAATTGGCTACTAAAGCAGAATTACCCTCGTTTACAATGACAGACAAAGAGGAAGCACAGAATGGCCAGTTGATCGTTGATGCATGATAAATTATTTGCACGAGTCCACGCACGAGTCATAAATGAAGTTTTCTGTTATCATAAGCGTATCAAATATCAGCGCGGTAAGATAATCGTTGGAAAGGATAATTATTCAAAATCGACATTGTGTTATATAATATATAGTCATACATGTATGCAAATTGTTATTGGTGTAGTCCGATCGACTCAATGATGATTACACTGCCAAAATGCTTGTTGTATTTTGTACTATTTTGTTATATTTAAAAATATATATGTGTATATATATAGATATATATATATTTACAGAAACGTATAACGATAACCAATTGATCCCTTAAAGCGATTAGAATTACTTGCACACATTCAAATTCATTGTATCTTATTTTCTTTTAATTCGAAAATCCCGAACCGAGAGATTCCCCGTGATTCGAACCAAAAAGCTTCCTTATCGTTTACGCGAGGAAACTACTTGTTTGTGTATCGTAGAAGCTCATTAGGTTTTCTCGTCTGCTGCATCCCGTCGATACATGGTACAATTTGGAGAGGTTTAATTGGAGAGAAACAAAATAAAGAGCAATAATAGGAGGAGGGGCGTTCTATCGTAATTCGCAATTGTCATAAGAAATATTCAAATAGCTACTTTGGTCGGTAGTTGGGTCAGAAGTGTCCAACATACTCCCTCCACGCTAGTAACTCGAAAACACGGTACCTCCGCTCTAGAAGCTTTCCGACACTGTGCATGCGAGAGCGGTTCTATGTAGGGCTCGATACGCACACGGCAGGTAAAGGTAGGTACGGAGAGGGTAACTTTTCGCGAGGAGAGTGTCACTAGAGTGCCCGTGGGCATAGATTTAGTTAGCCTTGATCCAAGTATCGGTACGTCGATTTAAAAAGAGCGTCGTTGTGCTTTGAATTTCGATTGACGAACTACGACGAACGTTCTATCGAAATATCATATGTCCCGTTGCTCGAAAGAAGACCCGTGGGAGGAATGCGGGTCCGAGTCGTTGGAATCTAGTGTGTTTTCGGATCTAACGTGCGATTGGTCGAAACGGTCACGCACACACCGATTCCGTCGCGTCACTGCGCGTCACTGCGCGTCACGCAACGCACACAGCGGAAGACCCCTCTCGCCCCTGTGCCGTCATCGGGGTCTTCGGTGAAACAACGGACGCCAAGTAGGCACTTGTAATCATCGCAGTCTAGTATTTTTCGTGCTGCACGATAAAGATGATAAAGAAGTATATAGATACTTATTATGTTTAAAGCGTATGTATCGACTCGAGATCACTCATTATCCGTTTCCCTGATGTATAGCAGATGGCGGTAAAAACAATACACAGGAAGAGTAACGGGAAAACGTAAAAGACTCGTTGTCAGAGTCAGTTGTAGGGTGGTAAATTGAGCAGGAGAAGACAGAGATATAAAGGAGGGAGAATGAGAAAGACACTGACGAACAAATGGCAAATAGGGAAATGTACGAACTGCAAGGACATAACCTTTGTCTCCGGACGCGTTTTGTAAAATGTCACAAATCTTTTACGAATAATGGCTGCAAATGTCTGTTTCTCGTCTAAAAAGAAATAATGCTTGATTTCTAGAGAGTTTTCTGAATTCTGAATTGAAAAAGTCGATCTTGCAGAATCGAATACGATGGTTTTCGTTTGAAAAATAAACGACTGAAAATACAAAGTAAGATGAAATAATTATGTTGCCTTCGACTGGTTACTTTAAAGCTATCAACTGTCCGTTCTACGAAAGCGGATCTTGCGATAGACCTTACTGTCATTTCAAGCACTCGAAACGAGGTAAGTCACTTGATTATTAACATTTCTTATCGCGATACGTGTGTATTGCTTTATGAAAGAAAGATGACTTAAAGTTCTAGAAAAAACTGTTTTGTCAACTGTTTATCCTGACGATACACGCGTACGTAAAGATTTCTCTACCCATGTAAATTATACTTTTCAGAAGATGCCGTGGTTACGACGGAGACAGCGGAGACGCTGGAAAGTCATTCGAGTCAAGTTCAAGAAGCAAAAGCTGCACCGGTACGATCCGATTCGGACATGTTACAACAACTGGTGACCGAAGCTGTCAAGAAAGTTCTTGCTAATCAAGAAGTAACGAGTACGGATAAATTTTCATGTCAGAATGTTGTTTCTCGTGTAGTCGAAGGGCTAAAACCTTCCTTGAATTCTGGAACTTCTGGTAAATTAGAAATTGTTACAGCAAGTGCAGCGGAGGAAGGAACGGATGTATCAATGTCGATTAATAAGTCTATTCCATGCGTTTACAATCCTACGCCAATCGCAGAATTGAAAAAACGTCATATACCGATAATATCTTACATGCCAACCAGGGAAAGCAGAGTTGCCGTGAAACGTAAATGTTCCCCTGAAGGAGTTAAGCCGTGGCTGGGTTCAGAACTAACGGATTCTCAAGCTGCCGAAGCCAAGTACAAACCGACTACGATAGTGAACACGAGTACTCGGGACACTACTCAAAGTTACATACCTACGTGTAAGGCTGATCCAGTTTTGTTGAATTCAATGGAAGATGGAAATTCCAGCGACTACGCGCTTAAACTCGGAGAAGCATATTACCCGAAAAGTAAGAAGAGAAGGGAAGAGTATGTTCCAAAGAAAATCAAGGCACCTCTGAAAAGTATAGAGGGTCTAAAGGACTCTGCGGTATACGATTTTACAGGAGGATTTAATACAGCGAATCAAGTATCTGCGAATGCAAGTCCTTCTTCTAATTTTCAAAGAAACGATGAATCCGAAAAGTTCTACTCCGATTTAGAGCCAAAGTTCTCAGATGACGAAGAAGATGTTAATAACAGTCGGGACGATGTTGGGCATTCAGATTGCGATTCGAGTAAAGTTAACGGCGAAGGTGTCGATGACACGATTACAGAACAAGGTGAAATATACGATGACGCTAACAGCGGTTATTTAAATGACGAGCAAAGTACGCGTACGTGTTCCACAAAAATAAGCGTGAACGTTGACTACATTAATAATGAAAATTGTGATGGGAAAGATTCGAAGGATAGCAATATTTTGACGCAAGAAGTTTCGATTGGTAAAGAGTCGTTGAAAAGTGTGACGTGCGTAAAGGGACAAGGTTCGGAAACAGATGCGAGTAAAGGGGCCGAGAAAACTGTAAGATACAAGTGTAAAAGGTCGAACAAAAGTAAGGATCCAAAGAGTTACGATAATTCTCGTAAGCACAGTACAAGGTACAAGGAGGGGCATATTTCCGTTGAGAAATCGCATTCCGCTTATCGCGGTACGAGCAAGGATGAAAGTCATCGTAGAGGCGAGAGTAAGGATTTGAAAAGCAAGGATCGCGAGAGAAACAAGTATAGAGAGAAGAACGAAGAAAAACATCGATGCAAGGAAAGAAACAGAGACAGAAGCGAAAATAGACGCAAGAGCAAAAGCGGTAGGAGAGATTCTCGTGACTCGGGAAAGCATCGAGGTGCTCGTGACTCTTCCGAGTCTTCGAAGAAAGAGGAACACGTTAAGAAACGACGCGGTGGAAGTAAGCGTTCAAGTTTTAGTGGTAAATCCGACGACGATGAGAAAACGTTCGGACAATCGTCTATTCGTAGAGAAGAGAACAACGAAGAGAGGAATTCGGTGGAGAGGCTTGCGAGTCCCTCGGAAAGTATTCGATCGAAGCTAGACGGCACTGCTGACGAGGAAACCGATGAGCGTCGTAACAGTATCGTTGGTAACGATATAGAGGACGTAATTATAAGTGGATCCGACTCGGATCACGACGTGCAAGAGGAGTGCTTAAAAATATTTCAAGTACGCGTGAGAAATTAGGCGACAGAACGCGCGAAAACCTTAATTGAAGATGGAAATTAACGAGGAGTTCTTTTAGCAATTATATCTTCCATGTTCCCTTCTAGCGTTTCAAATAAATCTCTAAATTAACGATTGTTTGCTATGACTCTCTGACGTTTGCCTACGATGCGTGGCTTGTGTTTCCAATAATTGACCAATGTTTTGTTTGTTGTAAGGAATATCAAGTGTCGGAACGATCGAAGGTAACGGTATCGTCGAGAGAATCGTCGAGAGAATCCTCGTCGAAGCAGGAAAAAGAGCAAAACGAAGAATTAGGGAGGAGAAGGGTAGCTCACCCTTCAGCGGCCACGTGTGTTACCAGACAGACTGTTGATAATCAGCTGCCCAAAAAGCTGGTAAATCCGCAACAAAAAATGTACGAAAGGTGGCGATTGATGAGAGACGTTGTAGCAGAAAAGGCGGTTCCCGTGGCTAGCAATGTTTCTGTTTCCAAAGATGTACAACGGCGAAATCACGTTGAAGCAGCAGGTGCGGCATGTAAGAGTACATTAAAGTCCCGATATAATTTCTCTTTGCCAGAGATTCTACAATACTTTATTGTAAGATGTATCAGTTTTGTCGGTGTGTCTCTTGGAATCGCCCTAATCCGAAAGTCTTGGGTTCTGTGTCGAAACGCATACCATTGTGTTGTAATAATTTGTCAAATTGTCAAATTGTCGAACGAATGAACACGATATTACCGTGTAGAATACCTGGCTGTGATACTTGTACATGTTTTCCTGTGCCGTTTATGCATGTATTTCTTTCGAAAAGTGCATGCTTCCGCGGTATTAGATTTTGTAAATGCTGTTTCTATTCCTATACTCGGTCGTAGTATGGATTTGTTAAGCAAACAGAATACGACTGAAACGTACGGATTTGTTCATGGTAACTTGGGTTTCGAAATACGGGAAAATTCTGTTTATCGCGAATGTGCGCGACATCCAAGTACATACACATCTGTGACTTGCAAACGACGACGATTCGTATTCGGTAGCACGCGCTTGAGAATGAGCAAAATGAATTCCTGAATTTTGATTTTCTACAAAATCAACGATAAATTGAGAAAGCTTTGTCGTTCTTGTCGGCTTACTTTTGCATGAAACTTCTCGCTCGATTGTACCATCCATCACGATTCTGTGTACGTACGTACGTACCGTGTACTATATAGTGTTTAAAATATCATAATACCTATGGAGATCCTAATTCAGTGAAGCTCTCAGTGAAACGATGGGAGGGCAGGGGAGGGGGATGAGACAGCAACGTTGACTACTCGGATAGTTCTATAACTCTCTGTAGACGCGGAGGTGGAAGACGGAAATTCATAATATACAGCGATCAGAGTATAGTAGGGGAGAGTCGTACAGTACCGACCGGCGTACAATATCGACCAAAGGTAGTTTTAATCTCTTTCACCAATAATCCTAACGCTTTGTTTCAATTAACAAATGAACACTACAATTCCGTGTAACGTATTTCAGGGCAAAATGATTTACTCGGTTGCTTTGAATGTTTTCAAACACGAAACATACGCGTTGATATCGGATAAGTCATTGTTTCAAAGTGACGTATCGATTTCGGCAATATCTTTTTCCATATAATATGCCGTAATTTGAAATTGATACTTGTCGTGCAGTGCCGACCATTCAACTCTTTGTCAGTATAGACGAAAGCTCCCCGAAGGTACACGTTGAAAGATGCGGCGATTCGGGCATTAGTGCAAGCGATGGGTTCGAGTCTTCCGAGATTTGACCTTAGGTGAATACCTAGTATTTAGTAGGTACATCTATCGCGCTCAAACCCATCGCCATCGTGTATTGTATTTACATGCATAACTATGCTGCGTCGCCACGTATTTTTCACGGTGTACGCGAAAGGAAGCTAGGCTCGGACGAAGAAATCGGCCAATGTACAATTTGCAACATTCATTTGGTCATTTTCATTTGAGGGAAATTGGATACATTGATTACGATATCCGTAAACACGAAATGTTATTCTATTAAAAATATGACAGTAAACGGTTGATACTGGACGATCGTCTTTTTGTTTCTTACAGAAAGAATCATCGATTGTGTTATCCTTGGTCTTACTTAACGCGACAGAAATCATTTCTTTCTTTTATCATTCACTTTCATTTGCACTCGAAATATGTGTTTGAACGAACGATTCTGTGCGACACTTTAGGTCGATACTGTGCGACACTGGTTTAATTGAAATTCAAACATGTTCAAACCAGCGACTCCGGAGTTGAGTTTTCTCACGCTGTGTCGGCGTTGCGAAGCTTCGACGCAAAGTGTTGCGCTTGAAACGATACCTGGTGTATACGGACGTTTTTTCTCTACAATATCTCGTCCCTCGTGGAACGAAATGTACACTAGTTGCATTTAAATTGCTTTAACCCTTTGCGGACGAGACCGTCCGATGCACGAGCATCCGCGTGGACGAGAAGTTTCCAGAGCGTGCAATGGAGAAACGATAAGCGTTTGAAAGTTTGTTCGTAACAACAAGATGAATTTCGCTGTACACGTATAAAGTTGATAAGAGTTTGGAGTAAATTTGCGAAATAATACTTTTTCGAAATACAGAATTGTCTACATGCAGGTCTGGTTTATTCGAGCAAGTATCGCAATAATGTCGTGTTTGTTTCTGTCCTCGTGTAACTCTTTCGTACGAATATAAAATACGATTACACGTGGAAAGTGTACAGGAAGTGTGTAAAGAATGTAAAATGTAAGAGAAATAGTTGAACGAAGGTTCAATCGCTCGACACAAGATTAATGCAGTCACGTAGGAATACGTCCCGGAAGATCGTTCCAAGATTAGCCGTTCAACGGAACGTGATAGAGACACGGAGTAGATAGGAATGGTTCGGATCAGAGCGGACCGCTGTATATTTACAGCTGCACATGCTTTCCGAAAGTTCGAAAGTTCGAAAGTTTGAAAGTTTGCCGGTATGCGTTCAAAATGGTAAACGAGCTTGTGCGACTGTCCCCAGACACGTGTCCGCAAAGGGTTAATCCTACTACTCATCTCCCTTTGGGTCAACACGATGATATACCGATTGCTCTGAGAGTTCCTGAGTTAAAATCTTCGTAGTTTCAACTACTCCCATTGAAATTGACACTACCGAAGAACATTGTTGGACAGCTCGTGTCAGAATCGCGCATGTGCCGTATGCGAAATCTTTAGCGATTGAGAAGAAAAAGATGACGGAGAACGCGGAGAAATCAACGACTATCAAAGTAGCAAACAATTCGAAGACAACTGCGCAAACTGCGAAAAGTGGAGTACGCGTCGCTCATGTTCCTCAAGCGGTAAGCAAGCGGTTTGGGATTAACTAGCGAGTAAAGAATGCGCTACGATACGAGTCGCGTATCGTGGTTTCTTCCCTTTTCTTCTTTCTTTCTTGTTTTCTGCGTTTTCTCAGGTTCCTCAGCTAATCCGACCTGAACCGTTGCAAGTGACCACGCAGAAGTTTCCCTTAAATGTTCGCCAGTATTACGTGAACATAATGCACGACGTGTGCGTACAGATCTACACGAATGCCGAAGATGCCGCGCAACGCGCGATTAAAGAAGAATACGCTTGCCACGAGAGATGCAAAGCGTTGGCCGTCTATAAAAGCTCTTGTATGCTCGCTGCGCATAGATTAAGAAAAGAAATTGATCAGAGTTTATCGACGGAAAATAATACGAGCGCGACGACAGCAGGTAGCAGCGTGGTGTCTCACGAGGCGGTGCTGGCTGGTAAAGCGAAAGGTTCTTGGAGCGTTTTGAAAACGAAGCGATCCGTTACCGAGTTCCGAGGAACGAAGCTCTATAACATGTTGAAGAAATGGATATTGAGCGAAGAACAGCTCCGAGACAATGGATTTCCTCGGCCACATCCGGACGGACAAAAAGTAAGTTGGTCGGATCCATCGTCGAAGAATCTCAACTGCGATTCGGCACCGATTCGACACCGATTCGACACCGATTCTCATTTGGTTGTAGGGCCGTGCAAAAATCTACGTAACAAATTCACGGAATCAGAATGCCCTGTCCAAAGTGCCTAACGAAAGAATTTGTAGCCGATGCGGTCAAGCATATACGATAGACAAACAAGGATTCCCTTTGCGACCGCAGAACTGTATATACCATTGGGGTAGAAAATTCACGGTGAGGGGCGAGGGCAAGTACAGTTGTTGTCAGCAATACGGCTCTGCTACCGGTTGTTGCGACGCAAAGACGCACGTTTGGGAGTATACCGACTATGAAAACCTTCGTGGATACGTGAAAACTTTGCCGAAAGGTGTGTCACGGTTCTTTCTTTTTCCCTACCGAATCGTAATATTCTCCGTCATTTACGCTTCCCCGTGGTTTCTTCTTTTTTTCTTTTCAAGACATATCTATCGAAGAACAAGGAATTTACGCCCTTGATTGTGAAATGAGTTATACGACGCAAGGTTTAGAATTGACCAGAGTAACGGTCATAGACGAGGATTGCAGTGTAGTATACGAGACATTGGTTAAACCGCAGAATCCTATAATTGATTATAACACAAGGTGAATAACTGTTGAATATCTTCCAGTCTCATTCGTCTTTTCCTCCTTCTCCTTCCTCCTTTTCTTTGTCATCGCCGCTTTTCTTCTTGTTGCGAGAATCTCCAGAAATACGATGGATCGAACGCGCACCGATTCTTCGCGCAACAGTTTGTCGCGGACAACTTTCAATGACACCTACGCGTTACAGGTTTTCTGGGATTACGGAGGAAAGCATGAAGGACGTGACGACAACGTTGCTAGACGTTCAAGCGACCTTGCTCACCATGTTTTCGGAGAAAACAATATTGGTGGGTCACAGCCTAGAGAGCGATTTCAAAGCTTTACGACTGCTGCACGACACAGTGGTCGACACGAGTGTAATGTTTCCGCACAAGAACGGTTATCCGCAAAAGAGAGCTCTGAAGAATCTTTGTTCCGAGTATCTAAGGAAAATTATTCAAAACGACGGTGAGTACTGTGTCTTTTCGAGTAAAATCCCCCTGTATCCGTAGTCGATATCTCGCATGTGAAACGTACGATGTAACAACGTGTGTATTACAGTCGGTGGACACGACAGCAAAGAAGATGCTGTCTCTTGTATGGAATTGATTCTGTGGAAAGCGAAGGAAATAGCAAAATTGCAGTGAAGAAATCTCCGAGTAATTACAGTCAGACTGATTCGTTGTGTACAGCTTAGATTGTTACGTTTCGCGAAACCTTGGCAGCCAGGTTCAGTCCTTCGTTATTGAGCCAGCCAGCCCATTTCAAACCTACCGATATATCGTATGTATTGTATGATAATTTTTCATGTATAAATACCCGATACACGTGTATCGAATTAACGTGTACTCAGCTGTCATTGAGTCGCCGTTCCATTTCAAGTCGAACCGAGTTATATTTCGATCGCCGACTTTCGTTTACCAGCTCTGTAACCACCGACGAGAATTCTAGTGGCGTCGAGATTCGTACCATGAACGTACGGCGTAACGTTTCTATTTATAATACTCGATACCGTTGAACATCGTGGTTGATACCGATACGTACGCGCCGGCCAGTGCGTACGTATACTTGTCTCGGTTAGCATCGATCGCGATATTGGTGTCGATGAAAGTTAGTTTTGCTGATGCGTCGCGTCGGTCAGTACCTTTCTCAGTGATTTCATTCGAACCGATTGCACTCACAGTCCTACGGTAATAGAAATAGTTTGTTTATTAGCGAGTAATTCGTATCGGTCGCGCGCAATTCGTACTTTTATAAGATTTCGTTATCGTCTGCGCCTTAGATTCTTGGGTCGTTCGGGTATAAGCAGAACGATGTAGGGGTACCAACGTTGCGTGTGTTTACTTTGAGTGTCTCAAAAATTGTACCGAGTGTACATTTATTTTTGGAGATTAAACGTCTCTCAATAAACGAATATAAGTATTTTGTACGCTTTGAAGTATGTTTTATGTGTCCTGTAATGCCGCGAACATATATATATATATATATATATATATATATATATATATATATATATATATATATATATATTATGGAACGAATATAATAGTAAACGAGGCGGGATAGGAACAGATGTGATTGTCTCAATTTATTTTCTTTCTCTTCAAATTGTCGAATTTTATTATAGAAAACTATATCAGTGTCTTTTTTACCTTCGAATGTGCATCAAACAGCTCTGATCGCATCACCAACGCGAATCACAGTTCTCGCAGTTTTCACAGTTTCCACTTGATCATTGAAAAATGCTCGATAGCCGTATCTTTCCATTGTTCCATCAAAGTACACGACTACTCTTCAACGAATTTATACTTTGAAAGACGGCAGGTGTACGAACGACGATGCGATCGAAGCGAATGAGCGAACCTTCATTGTTTGCAGCAATGTTTAACGGATGTTGTTCGACGGTTGGCCTTCACCTTCGTCTCGGTTTCTTCCGTTTTTCTCTCTCCCTGTTCATTCTCTTTCTTCTCCCGCTTCTTCTTCTCGTCGACGTAAGCTATTATTTTCCAAGTGTTTCCCTAATGTTATCTTTTTCGTGTTCGTCCTATTAAAAGCAATCGACTCTCGTCGTTCTACGCGTTTTAGGCTATTATTCTCGTTCGTCGAGTAGTTTGAAATGCAATAATGTTTCGTTAATAGTCCGCGTGTTACACTTAATTAGGAATCTAACAATGTTCCGTGATTCTCGTTGCGAGAGGTTTTGCGTCGAACGACTCGTTTTCTAACAAGGAAAGCAGCACAGAAAACATTTCGCCATGGGTGTGATGTATAAACTGAGGATAATCGAGAGATTGTTACTGTTGTCTGAAAAAAATATGAAACGTTGTAAATTGTTGTTCGTTGAAAATAATTTGTTTCAAGGATACGAAAACGATATCAAACGAAAGATATTCTGATCGTTTGCAATGTCGTTAGTTGCGAATTGAGAGAGAGTTATCGGCGAGATGTTATTGTAACTCGAAGAAGAACCTTTTCGTAGTTGCATCATTATATTCGATGCATCTATATTCTTACGAAATCTATAGAAACTTGGAAAACGTGGCTATTCGAGTAATGCATCAAATTCTTCTTCGATGTATGTACCCATCCATGGAGGGGAATGTTAAACACGACAAGTCTAGTTCACATGGCGTAAAAAATAGTGTATCCAACTGTTTGAATCAAACATTATTGTCAAGATGTATTTAGAACCTAATCTTTGGTATAATTTTCTTACAAGAGGGCAAGCTTGCGCTATTTCATAGTACATGTACACCTGCACTAACCCTAAAGGAAACTTTTGTGGAGATTGCTAATTGCGTGATTACGACCCTCGTTGCAAACTGAAAAAATTACATGGTAATGTTTTACTAAGAATAAGAAGAAGAAGAAGAAGAGAAGAAGAAGAAGAAGAAGAAGAAGAAGAAGAAAAAGGAAGAGAAAGAGGAACGCAAGGAAGATGGAGTTAAGAACGCAGTGACGTTTCTTTCAAGTTTAACTGATAGTTGAAATACGTTGCCATCAATTCGGTCTATGGTTATTCGACAAGCAAATTGGTACGTGCTTTAAATAACAATGATTAATCTTTATCAATTTATAGAAAGGTGGTCACAATAGAAATGTTGTTAGTTGCAGAATCGCGCAAATACACTATACAAACGAAAAATACAGTTACCTAGGCTAATAATAATTATTCTTGTTAAAGTGATTTCAAACAAGTTGTCGATGGAACACGGCGCGAGAGATGATTTGATTTACGACAAGTTCGTTGGTTCTTTCGGCACTTTTCGATGTCTCGAGAAAAATGAATTTAATAGACTCGGTGTAATTGGAAATTGCATCGATGCAAACTGTAGTGCTTTTAACGACGTTGGAAGAGGTAGAGAAACTACGGATAGAAAATGTGTGTTCGCGGACAGTTATACGTTAGCTTGCAATATGGCGGGGTCGGTTCGGTCGACACGACGAAAAGTAACGAGGAACAATGAGAAAGAATGAGAAGTGGCGAAGAAAGATGAGAAAGCATGAGAAACGTGTACCCAGCTGTCCAAAAATAGATACTGCAAGGAGAGCCGCATCAATGTTCGAATCCTTGAAAGCATAAAAAAATATGTTGTCCTGACATTAGACAGCATTTAATTGTAAGGTAACATCTACCTAATTCCCATCGTATACGAAGGCAACTGTTCGAAGACACGTACGCGGTACGATGTTACGAATTATTATATACAACTACGCACACTTTGCTGTTACATTCGTTGGTTCGGTTGATCAACGGCCAACGAATATTAAGAATTCATCGGAAGAAGTTTGTATTTTGAACTCATTCTCACCGTGTCCTTGAGGTCTCGGAGTTCCACATGCGCAAGGACACGGATCGTCTGTTGGAACATTCACGGT